GAACTGATGACCCAATTTTACGAAGTTCGTTGACCTACGATTCATTCTTCCGAAACGCAAGTACTTAATTAACGAGACGTGTGGAGTTGGTACTGTGTAAATTTTTAATTAACTTTATGTATTTTGTTTTGAAGAACTTGCTCGTGTACGTTTGTTTTCTTTTGAATTGATAAGATTGCTTTGTCATTGAAGATAGATTCAGTTATTTTATTTGTACATTTTATAGTATTTTTCTCTTAAAACTTCATGTCACTTTTTGATATCTCATACCGATTGTGAAAACCAACCCTTAGTCGAACCAAATTTTATTTTGTTGTAAAGTCATTTGAATTTTTGATTCTTTTTAGTATTGATTGCAATTCTACGTACAAGAATAACCATTCGTGTCTTACGTTAACCATTGCTTATGCGATATATTGTGCAACGCGAATCATTACCCTTCTTATATTTTTTTGTTTTTGTGTCTGACTGTTTCAGATTTGCAGTTTCGCGTCCTCTGAGCTCGGAAGGTTGCGACCGGAGTTCAAGGTAAATTTAGTTATTTTCTTCCTTTTTCCCTTTTAACGTTTGATTACATTTTGGTTGTTGATACTAACGAGTTGTGATTATTACTTTGTTTGAAAGTCACTTAATGATTATAGCTCCGTTGTTTCTGCGGAAGCCCTTTTGGATAAATATTTCCCCAGGCTACGTGTTGGCTTCTAATTTGTTTTATTAGAGATTATGTTAAATTCCCAGTTTGATATACTAGGTCGATATATTACAGTGTCAGATTTGTGATATTTTGAGATCTTTGTTATTAAACTACCCGCATTTATACATCAAATACTGTTTGTTTTCCCCATAATTGTGTATTCCTTTGAGTTTAGTAAGACGAGAACAAGGATCTCTTGGTCTGCCTTGTTCATCCCTTTAGTATTCCTCTCTCTCTAAATTCATCAAAAACTAAGTGGCGTCTATCCGGATTACTTTTACTTTTTCCTTCCCTTTTTGGCTTATTTGTGTGTGTATAGAAGAACCCCATTTTCACCCCGACCCACCTCTACTTTGCCTGAGCTTACCGTGTGCTTATCTAAGGTAATTTTGTCACGTTGGCCCAAAGTGAACGTAACAAATTCCCATGGCGCTTCTAGCTTTCAAACGCATTTACAAAGTCTGGGCAGTACTAAAAGACCACTTGCCCACATACAAAATCGAAAAAAATCAATTAAATTCGAATCAAATAAAATGCGTTAACGAACTCCAGTTACAATCGTAAGCTGCAAAAGTGCTGATATTCATTTAAAAAAAAACGTGTCCATCCACAAATACAGCCGGGCTTTCACGTTCCATCTGCGTTACAGAACACTTTATTGATGTCGCAAAATGCCCGCACCCTTAGTTTAGTCTACAAGTTACAAGTAATCTGCCTGTAACTATTACTACAAGTCCTAATGAATTCTGTATAATATGCAAATGAGTTGTGTTATGAAAAAGCTACAAGTGTAAAATATATTCTAACAATAATTGTAGACTTCTACGGCTTGTGTTACAGGCCCCAGGTCTATAGTTTATTGCAATTATTATTTAATCAATCCAGTGAATGGACGCCATTTGGAAATCGATCTGATTCCTTTTCTTTATTGTTCTGTTCTGTCCAATCACAGTGACTACTATTGAACTAAATTGAAATTATGCCCTACACAAATGCCGTTTCCAAAATTTACTACTCCAACTAGATTGTTTGCGCATTGTTTTAATTAAGTAGGTACTAAAACTGATTTTCGATTACATTTAAGAGTTGGACACAATACAGTCTAGACAAAACTTCATTCTCTATTTAAATTTCCATCAATTTCGGTGAGCCTAGCATTTTCAATTTGCTGTGAGGTAATTGCATAAGTAAATTGAATAAAAGTTTGAGTCAATTCATTCACACGCTATAGCGGGCACAATCTGTGTTCGAAGTAAACGTTGGGATTTCCATTGTAGAGCAGATTAATTCAGACTTTGTAAATTCATATAGGAGCATACGGCGACTCCTTTTTCATAATGCATTGGGCGAGTTGCGGAAATATATTACTCCTTCTTTGCACTGGAAACAGCTGCACTTTGTGACACAATACCAAATTCCACTTTCTCGAAATTGATTCACCAAATACAATAAAGCACAAAATGTTGAGCGCAAATTCAAATAAAATGGTAGGTTCTAAATTGATTTTTGAACTATTGAATCTTCCACTTCGAGCCTAACTTCAAATGCACACATCAACTTAGAATTTTGAATTTGTAGAGAAACAATCATTTTACAAGTTGGTATGAAGATTTTTTAATTTTAATATTGTTTTTTGCGCGATCGCTCATTTCTGACTATGTACCATGGGTGTTTCCATGACAGTACGTAGAATTTACCAGTTGCTATGATTACGACGACGCCAAAATTACTTACCGATCTAAAAACAGAACAGCAAAAATACTTACCGACGCCTTTTTAAAAAATCAACAGTCTTACATTACATTTAATCTTTAATTATTGTTAGGTACATTAAACGTACAATTTGTGCTGTTGTTTCCTATAGCAAGACACTCATAAAGTCATAAAGGAAGTGCAAAGCTAGTAAACTACATCAGACACATGCACATTTTTATGAAATTATTAACTTCAATTTTGACAAATAAACTGGTTACCTAGTGATGTACACCATACCACTTCGATCATTTCGATTTATTCTGCTCGTTAATTTCTTAGTGCATATTTATATTGGTTGCATAATTTTAATTTCGATCGCGCAAAAAATGTTATAAGCACGTCGAACGTTAAGGGTTACCGTTCTCAGACAATAATTGGAGTCGTCGCTTCGCTCCTCCTCCAAACAATTGTCTTCGAACGGTAAAAATCCCTTACCGTTCTCCATACTTAATATACTATTATTTTTCATTTGCCTATTATATGTCAATTATATCTGTCATATGTGATATATACAGCAGTCTATTACGCCCAAGGGCATAATGAGAGGGCATAATGGATTGTCATCTCATTATGCCCTCAAACGGCCTGTCAAATTGATTGACGGAGTTATGTATTATGTAATAAAAAAGATGCAACTTGATTCGTATGAAGCACTTTAATGTTGGGCAAACAATAATCATTACATTTGTATATTGGAAATGCATTCTTTGGAACGATGAAAAATAAAATGTTGTATGCACCTCAGGCATTACTCAATATTTAACCCTCGGACGACGAAAGAAGAAAACAAGTCCTGGAGAACAGACAAAGGCCCATATGAATAAAAGGGAGCATATGCTTACACTTGCAAAATTCAAACGAAATACTCGTAAGTGCCCCTTCAGACTGGGCTGCTCAGCAGCTCTGCACTGCGTCCTGTCGCATGGCTAACCATGCTAAGTCGCCCAGTGCGAGGGGGCACTTTTTATTCATATGGGTTCCAATTTTAAAAACCATTATTTTTAATGGACAACAAAATATACTGTTAAGGGGTCATCGTGATGACCGTCTCTTACTTGGAAAAGATGGAGAAGTGAATTTGGTAAGCCACAATTATGGTTCCTTTCGAGCTCTTCTACGTTTTCGAATCGTTTTAGTAAAAAAAATTATCAAATTTAAGCGTAAATATATTAATACCCAATGCTCTTCAGGCCGTCACCGATGATAACGTTTTAAATGATCATTTAAGTTTAATAATAAATGAGTACGGAGACCTGCTAAATAACCCGTCATTAATACAACTTCTGGGTGAGGTGCAGCTTTATAAACAGAGTTTTTGCACCATGGACATTGTCTACCATAGTGCATTACAAGCTCTTCAAAATTGTGACCAAATTTATTATCCTACCATTAAGAAACTTTTACAAATTATCTGCACTTTTACAATATCTATTGCAACCACTGAAAGGAGTTTCTCAAGCCTTAGATTGTTAAAAAGTTCTTTGAGATCCACAATGATTGAAGACCACCCCTGGTATACATTCACAGAGAAATTAAATTAAATCTAGAAAATGTTATAAACCGATTTGCAAATACAAAAAGAAAACCCGATTTTGGTATTTAGAAATTTTCTGGTTTGTTCTTTTCTTAGTTAATTAAGAATTAGGCAGTTATTTTTAGCGTAACACAACGAAGTTGAGGTAAAGCTTATGTGCTCGTGTTTCCGTCCGTCCGTCCGTTCCATCGAGATCTCGGCCCCTGGGCCACCTAGAGACTTCGCGTTTTCGCTAATTGATAGCTGTTATGGTCTATATTTGCCCAATTCGATCAGTTTCATTTAACTCCATATTTTGCGCAGACTGCGCAATGCCAACTTTCATATTTATGGAGATATTTCCTTCAAATTTTAACCACAGACGCTTCTAGTAAAGATAAATATTTCGCGCATAGTAAAAATTATGTGGGCATGCGCAGTGACTGCGCAATGCCAACTTTCTTATTTATGGAGATATTGCTTTGAAATTTTAACCACAGACGCTTCTAGTAAAGGCAAACATTTCGCATATAGTAAAAATAATGTGTGGGCATGCGCAGTGATGTGTGGGCATACTGCGCAGTGCCAAAATTCTTATTTATGGAGATTCTTTGAGATTTTAACCACAAATGCTACTAGTAAAGGCAAACATTTCGCACATAGTAAAAATTATGTGGGCATACGCAGTGACTGCACAGGCTGCTCATACCCAACTTTCTTATGTATGGTAATATTTCTTTGAAACCTTATTTTACTTATTTAACTCCTTTCTTTCTCTGGACGTGGACGTGCTTCAATATGCAGATTCGACATTTTGTGTGCTTTTGGTGACGATGCGTCGTTTCAATACTTTGTGTTACGCGGCAATACCCACGAGTGGGTTTTGGAACATTTTTTTAATATGTTATACTCGTATATTATGCCAAAAATGTTCTATTTTTATATGTAGGTATAATAAATGTTTTTTTTTCAAATAAACTAAATAAACATAAAAAGATTTCCTTTGTGGGGAGACCAGTATACACACGAATGAAGTGATCATTTTTCTGAATTTGTAGGAACGAAGATGTGGACATTTTTTACGCCCTCCTTTAAAGTTTCCAATTTCTCTTTTAAAACAAATTTTTCCGCTTCGAGCATTGCTGGAAATTGCTGCGAGACAGCCTGTTCTGGTGTATTTATAACTTCCATCTCTTCTACAACTGCTACATCGTCACCTTCATCAACAATCCTTCTGCCTAAGATCATTTTTATTTTAATAATTGAATTGATGAAATAATTACATTTACCGTTTGTGGGCAGTTTTGGCTGCATCAAACTGCTTTCCCTTATTGTAATCGTACAATGTGGGCCTATTCTGTCTCCATCAACAAAATGGCAATTGCATATCCGACTATGCTTCCCTGGATCTCTGTCCTTTCGTCTGTAAAATTGGGACTAATAGAATTATATTAAATACATTTTATTTTAACTTACTTAATAAGTATTAACCATCGCTTCAATTCAGTTGGATCACTTGGAAATACAAAAAAATTGCATGCGTCCCTTTCGCTGTAATGTTTATACATTGGTGCAAAACACATTACCATGGTGAAATGCCAGAAAAGATAAACTTTTAGTTTCAATATATCGCTTCTTCAATAAGAGTTCTTTAGCTATTTGTGAAATGGACATTTTTATAAAGTACAAAGACTATGAAAATATACGACATAACCTCACTTAATTTTTAAATGTTATTAACCATTTAATAAAAGACATAAGTATTTAGAACTTTTTTGCTTTGTTACGAATTGCTATTAAAAAACATTGATCCATAAAGGTACTTACCTTTACTACAAACAGTAAAATATCTTCAAGAAAGCTTCTTTTAACCTAGTACTCGTTTTCAACACAGATTCGATTTGTTTGGAACGCGGGAATGGACCTACCTCAAAATGTGACGACAACACTTGCGCGGTCTTTTGAAATAGAATTGCACCGTGTGAAATACAATGCATCAATGCTTATTGCATGCAATGATTTGATCTTGCAATTTCTTTCTGCGTTCTTGTGCGTTTTATTGGTCCATGTCAAGGGACCTTAAACAGGTTAGCGTATTAGTACGACTCGGTGCCTATACAAATGACAAAAATAGTTCAACGCATTTTATTGATGAAAAGTTCAATTTTATTAGTTTCCAATTTTATGGATTGTTGTTGTGTATAAATGAACCCAATAAAGTTTTGATTTTCTGTTTTTGGCTATCGATTTCAATTTGTTTATTAACCATCTTCATTCATATTATGGTCGGTGTTTCTTGTGAGAACTCAGGTCTAGCCTGGTTAACTAATCGCACGGATTAAAATCAAGTAACGATTAGTGTCTGTGTCTGTGTCTGGTGCAGTGTTATGTAGGGTCCTTAAAAAAAAACACGTGCATTGGCAATCTAGGGATAGTATGTAATTCATACTTACCAACATAGGTATTGATGGGCACAATAGCCAACGCTATCAAAAAAGAGGAAAACAAAACAAAACAAAACAGAATCATTATAATAATTCCTGTAATTTTATTAAATTGATTTTATTGTGTAAGTGTTTCTTTGGCTTTGCGTTTGGGTTGAATACGAGTGGGTTGTGATAACGTGGTGTATTTCTGTGAAGAAGGAGTTTTGTGTTTTTTAACTGTGCTAGGACGTGTAACTTTATTTGGTGGACCTGTCTTTGTGGTGCATGTTGGGTTACTTGTATTTATGGTGTTTCTTTGTTCTTGAGGTTGCATTTGTGAGGTTGCTGGGGTTTTTGGTGGGGATATTACAGTATGTTGTGAGCTAGTAGTGCTGTTTAGGTTTTTGCGCTTCGGTTGAAGACGTGTGGTTTGTTTCTGAGAAGAAGGAGTATTGTGAGTTGTTGTTGAGTATTTATTGCGTTGGTTTGTTCAGGAAGTTGTGTTTGTGTGGTTGGTTGAGTTAAGGGTGGAGATATTACAGTATGTTGTGTGTCATGTTGTGAGTCTAAAGTGCTGTTTAGGCTTTTGCGTTTGGGTTGTATACTAATGGGTAGTGATAATGTGGTTTGCTTCAGAGGTGAATCTCTGATTGTAGGTATATGTTGTATCATTTGTTGTACTTGTTTGTTCGGTAAGTTGTATTTGTGTGTTTGTTTGGGTTAGAGGTGGACATATTACAGTATGTTGTGTACCGTGTTGTGAGCGAGTGCTGTTGTTTACATGTATACGTTGTGGATCATTTCTGTATGTAGTATCTTGTGTTATGTTTAGAAATTTACGAACAATATGGCATGTGTTGATAATAACTGCCCAATATGGCAATGTGTTGATAATGACTGCTCTTTTGTAGATGTTATGTAGTGTGTTTTGCTCTAACCTAATTGTTGTAAATTGTGGTTTACTTGTCTTTGGGATAACTCCCAGTAGCACTAAGATAATGGAACGCTATAACAGTAAGATTTCATATCTCCATTGCTCTTAAGTTCTCGAGATAGCTATATCGGTGTATTGCGGTGTTTTTCTGCGATGATGTTTTAGTTACGTTGTAGGTTGAGGGTATGGCAAGGTCTATAATACAAATGATTTCTTTTGTATGTTTAATCTATAAGTGTAAATACGTGTCTATTATTGTGGAATAGTTTGTCTGTGAGTAGTGTCGCTGTCCCGAAATAATTTCTGGTGTGTTGTTTCTCAAGGATGATCTGCTGGCCGTGTATTCTGTAGTATGGTGTCTTATCTGCTTATGAGATTGGTTAACGGTGCTAATTTGATGTATTGATTTTAGCTAACCTAATCGTGTCAGTGTTGTATCGTTTTGATGCAAGGTCGTGTGCATGCCGATATTTATATGTTGGATTGTTTCTGATGTTTGTGAAACAGAGTTGCGACCAAGAATCGTTTGTCAACTGTTGTCTTATGTATTTGTTATTATTATTATTTATTATTATATTGCAAAAAGTAAGCAAACCAAGAATTATTATAATGCATACTTGTCATTGCAATTTCGGTCACAGCAAGGTATGTTGTTGCAGTACCATAGAAATCGTGAACGATATTAAATATTTGGGACTAATAATCGACTCATCACTTACATACGATAAGCATATACAATATCTACACTCAAAGATAAAGAAAATATCAGGAAGCTTTTATTTATTGAGCAGATTTGCCAATAAAAAAAACCATGGAAATAGTTTACAAAGCACTAATTGAGTCACTTCTCAGATACGCAATATGCGTATGGGGATGTGCAGATCTATCCTACGTAAAAAAACTCAACTCGCTCCAATTACGACTGCTTAAGCTGATTCCTGGAAATAATCACCTGCAAACACAAGATTTGCTGCAATATACAAATACGTTAACATCAACCGGATTTTACAAGTACCTTAATTTACTGAAGCACTTTGATGTCAACGAATTCAAAATACCCTTACAGCATTCGTATGGAACCCGAAGAACCATGTACGCAGTGCCCTATTGCTACAACAAATATGGAAAAAGAACATTAGAATTTACCATACCAACACTGTATAATTCCTTACCTAGAGATATCCTCAACGTTCAACAAATTGGAACCTTCAAAAAAGAAGTTAGAAAATGGCTCATACAGGGGACCTGAAATCAAATATAACCTATTCTTTGCTTTGATTACACGAAATGTTAATGCGTGAGACAAATATCTATTGATCAATATTTTTGTGTAACATCAATAATGTAAAAAAATGTATACTTACCTTACTATAAGGAACCAACCGATAAGTTTATACTAAACTTGGTTGGACCTCTAACATTGGGAATTAATGTGAATAAACATTTCAAACATTATTATTATTATTGTCGGTGTTTCTTGTGAATTATTATTATTATTATTATTATTATTATTATTATCTTCAGGCCTATGTATGCATAACCACAAGATAGAAACCGGTCAATTTCAGAATTCAACACCTCACAACATTAGTTCAAGTTTAGGTAATCACGTTCAACAAATGTATCATCTCCATAGCACTTATGTAACCTTTTTTTAAAAAAACTATGAAGGTGGTTTTTAAGAAAACCGCAATCGATAACAGAAAAACAAAACTATTAGTTTCATTTATACCCAACAACACTCCATACTTAAGCGAACATATAAAAATGATAACACATAATATGAATTATTCCACTACCGTTACCATCGAAAAAGGCACACATAAAATAAATGCATACAAAAATATGACGTATTTGCCTTGGTTGAACAACAGGCACTGAAGGGGGTCTAAACAAACGTTGAAAATGCCTAAACAAAATATGTCAGCTCTAAATAAACGAAACCAAAGATTTTACTACACAATGATCTTTGACGAAACTATACACAGAGGTCAGAGGCGGTTGTTGCCACCTACCGAGACAACATTTTTATCACTTGTTAGATTTTAATTTATGTATCGTATTGATGTAATATATTTATTGCGGAGAATAATATTACTAATAGCTTATTTGAATAGAGCGGTCGGATCAGTATTAGTGCATGTAAGTACAGCATAGTGTAAGTTCTATTCTTACACTATGGTACAGCTTGCATACGAAGATACAAAAGAAGAGATCCCGTTTGAATTACAAGTAAGATTTAAGATATCAAATAGTATTAGAATAGAATAATCTCAAAAGCACTAAAATATTAAATTTTTACCGGAACGCGTCTCTCAATATACCTTGAACGATTCAGTATGAAAGGCATTTTATCTATCACTTTATTGCATTGCAATAAAGTTGGGTCGATATCCATAACTTCGTGGCCTCTAGTTATTACGAACAGATGAATTTTATATTAGGTATAGTATTTTTCAAATGAATCTTCAATTTATTCACACTAGACTGTATAATAATTGTACTTTTGAAATCATCAATAAAGTCTTTTAATGGGAGCAAAACTTTTTCACTTAAATCCTTTTAAGCATCAGTACGAAGTCCATTAAAAATAGAGGTTGCTATAGAAAAGAATTGCTAAGAGTTCTTAAGAATGATTCCATTACGGAAATCGGTGACTCCTTCCATTCATTTCAATAGATTAAAATTCATATAAATTGATGGTTCACGGAAAACTGCAGGTACATGTGGGAAAAGAATTATGTTTGAAAGCACCACGTTTTTCAAATATCAAATTCTGGGGGACTCGAATAACACCACTCTGTAATTGCACTTTCTAAGCTGTTCGCTTAATTATGGAAACGTTAGTGAAATTACATGGAAATTATAAAAGAGCGACTAAAGCAGTCTTAAAGACCTGTTTTTGCTTTTCAATTGATTGTTGAGAGGCTTGGTCTTGAATATTACAATTTAAAATGGAAATTGTCTTAATCCAAAACCTTCCCTAACATTACAACGCTTTTAAAATTATAACAAGTAAATGGAATTAATCAACGCCACAAGACCATTCAAAAATTAATTAAAAGAAAACAAATTTGCATTCCCTAAGTCTCAGCCTTTCACCGATAAAATGTTCCTTAAACTTGCAAATTGGCCTAAAAACTGCTTTGTGAATAATTGCAGATGTTCCGTTTAAATTACTATTTAGAAAGCAATATTATACACCGCATACACATATATACCTACGCGC